GAGTGAGTGAAAGAGAGTGAGTGAGTGAGTGAAAGAGAGAGAGAGAGTGAGCGAGTGAGTGAAAGAGAGAGAGAGAGTGAGTGAAAGAGAGTGAGTGAGTGAGTGAAAGAGAGTGAGTGAGTGAGTGAAAGAGAGTGAGCGAGTGAGTGAAAGAGAGAGAGAGTGTGAGTGAAAGAGAGTGAGTGAGTGAGTGAGTGTGTGAGTGAGAGTGAGTGAGTGAGTGAGTGAGTGAATGAGAGTGAGTGAGTGAGTGAGTGAATGAGAGTGAGTGAGTGAGTGAAAGAGAGTGAGTGAGTGAGTGAGTGAGTGAAAGAGAGTGAGTGAGTGAGTGAGTGAAAGAGAGTGAGTGAGTGAGTGAGTGAAAGAGAGTGTGAGTGAGTGAAAGAGAGAGAGAGAGTGAGTGAAAGAGAGAGAGAGAGTGAGTGAGTGAGTGAACGAACGAGTGAACCTGAGGATGGTATTCCCCAGCTCGGATTGTGTCAGGAGAGAAGGGGATTCCAATCAGGCCCAGTCCTTACACTTTATTGCAGAAATATTCTACATCCATTACAAAAAAAAATCTTCATATACAGTTACTAAAGGATTTCTGTGCAGCTTTGCACGTGAATAACAAACACTGGAATTTGGCATTCCCTGTAGTCACAAAAACAAAACCCCAAAGCATTTCTTACTTGTACAGGATTACATTCACATACATTTTAGACACCGAGAGGGTCTAGTAACTGAATGGACTCCCACCCCATGTACTTTGGCAAAAATACCTTAAACGGTGATCTTTCCCCATTGTGGCTTGGAGCATATCACGCTTCTGTTTTTTGTAATTGCCTTCCCTATTCTGTACAATTCAGGTTGGGAGTCACCCATTCCCCTCTAACTTAGCCCCTAACACATCTTCCCTCTCCCAGAGACAGAAGGAACTGCCGATGCTGGAGTCTGAGATAACAAGGTGTAGAGCTGGATGAACACAGCAGGCCAGGCAGCATCAGAGGAGCAGGAAAGCTAACGTTTCGGGTCTGGACCCTTCTTTAGAAAATGACCACCATGTGGGGGTGGCACGGTGGCTCAGTGGTTAGCACTGCAGCCTCACAGCGCCAGGGACCCGGG